ATGTGTGAATAGCCCCAAACGACGCATAGTATTTGCCGACGAGGCCCGAATTGACTCTTTTCATGCAAAAGCCCAGCGGAAGTTACTATCTTGCCCTCTGATGGGACTGAGCTGGGGTTAATGTGCCCCTCACCTTTAGCAAGTACTCTCCTCTCTTTCTCTCTCTTCCACCTAGCACCGTCATCAAGAACTCTTCGATCTTCCTAATTTCTGTACGAATTTCAACGTTTCTAGGGTTTTCGCGCGAAAAGAATGTCGTCGTCTACGGAAAAATCCAAGTAACGACTACGCGAGGTCGGGCCACCGAGCCGAGTTGGAAGGAAAAAGGCGCTCTCATCTGCGAGTGGACAGCACGGAAGGAAGATACGGAAGCTACGAAAACCCTTAATCGAAATGCAAAAGGAGGCATTACAATGGCGAGACCAGAAAAGACGCGAGGACGACAATGGCTGGTCGTACCAACGAACCCCCCTCAAAAAACAGTAAGTGTTATGTTATACTGCGAACAGAGACAATGCAGATTAACCTAATATTGTTAGTTCTAGGCTTATGTTTATACTGCGAAGAGACAATGCCAGTATTAACCCAATATTGTTAGTTCTAGGCTTTGTCCAATGTTAGTTCTAAATTTTATACCAACGTTAGATCTAGTTTAAGTCCAATGTTAGCTTCTAATATGAGTCCAATGTTTAGTTCTATAATATTACGTCCCGCCCGTGTTAGCTCTATTTTGTTCCCGTTAGTGCTAGGTCTAATATTTTTCATATGTCTTATTGAACGTACAATTCGAAAATTTTTTGCAGGAAAAAAATTGCTCTAACAGGTCTCAGCAGAACACTAAGTTAACGGCCAATATCGGGCGCTTATTGGGCATTTTGAAGCCCTTGCCCCGAAGATCCGTCAGTGCGATAGGGATGCCATACTGCCGGTTCTATATTTCAACACTACATTTTGTTTGGGGCATCCTGCGGCTGATCGCCAGCCCACCTTGAGCTGCTGCTGAGCTTTTTCGATAGAGATAAATAACACCTTTTGTATACCTGATTCAAAAAGTGGGGTATGAAAAATGTTTTGATTTGCAAGAGGTGTCCACAAACCATACTTATTTCCAATTTATGGGGAGACATAAGGAACAATAGGGACTCAAGAAGCCAGAAGCACGATTGGCTGGAATACTTCGCTAAGCTTTTCATTTCTGAAGAGGGTTAGAATGTTAAAAAAATCAGAAACCAGCCAACGTAAACATCTTGAAGGGCTACGTGAACGGCTTGTGGATACTCTACCAAAAAGCGGGATATCGAGGATTTTGCTCTGCTACAAATTTTGTACCAATGCTCTATGATATGGAGTCCATAGCAGGGAAGGTATCCCTAGACCGTTACTCAGATACCTGGGATAGCATTCAGTAGGTCAATTCTGTTTTGCTGGGGCAAAGTACAGGGGGGCTAGTCACACGAAGTTCCCACTTTTGGGGCCTGGACACATTTTTCCCTTCTTTTATTACTGCAAAATTGTCACCTTGACATTCGCATGATATCAATATGTATCATTCCTCGATATTTTTTCTGATAATATATTTCATAAGATTTGAAGTTTACGTTAGTTTTGTTTAAAAATCTATTCGTCATGATAATTTTTTGAGTCCTAATTACTTATAGTAATAATAGTTGCCAAGATACAAATTTTTTTCTGCTTTGATGGGGAAAACAAGTCCAAATCTATGAGTGCTCATTATTATTTGTTATTTGTTATTTATTTATTATTTTAGGGTCTTTAACTTGCAAGGCAAAAAGCAAGGGATATTTTGAATTTATTTCTTGGCGTTTAAAGTTACTTTCAACCTTTTTTTTTCCCCCTCAAAGTAATTATTTTTGCCAATCCTTAACAAACTTTTCAAAATACAATTTCACCATTCTAAAATTATGACCATCATAAATATTCATACTTCTAAAATTGACCTAAATAATTTTGGAGTACCTTGAAGCTAACATCTAAACAAGGTCGCGGCTTTCCATTAATTCATCACATAGTCGAGAAATGAGCTAACTGAGGTTATTAGTTACTCAACTTTATAGTAGGAATATTTCAAAACACACCGATGCATTAAACGAGGTTTTTAGATCATAATACATAATATCTTTTTGAATTTAGACTTGGGAGTAATAGATATTATTGTCATGTGAGAGAATTCTCTCTTATGACGATGACATCGTGGTTCAACTTAAACCAAATGAATAATGATGAGAGAGAATTCTCAGCAAAATAATTGGTTTGCAATGAGCCATGTCATTGGCATTTGAAAAAAAAATTCATAATACGGTATGATACACATTAACATCTTTAAACTTGTATCTATGAAATTGTAAACCGAAACAAGTGCTTACCTTACACTCTCCATTTTTTTTCATAACATAAAATTTCAAACATACTTAATATTTTAACTTTAGATACTTAGATAGTGTGGACTAATTTTAACATAATAGACCTTCCATTTTAATATATAATATTGAATCAGAACTAAATTATTCCTAAAAAGTTTCAAGAGAGACTAAAATTTATATTAAAAAAAATACGTGCCTACAGACTTTTTAATAACATTCAAATTCTAATTAAAGTGTTTTAGTTTCTATTATTCAAAAATTAATCTGAGAGAAAAGCAAACAAATTTTACTAATGGTAGTTCATTTACAAAACTTAGGAAATAGAAAGTAGATTAAAGGTCGAGCAGTCAAAACCGATACGTCTTATAAAACATATAAAATTAACATAAAACAAAATCACTCAAATGAAATGAAAAGATTAGAATACCTGAGATAATGCTTGAAATGCAAATTTTAATCACGAATATCTGATGGTAAAATAGGCAAAAAGTTAATGTTTTGCTTGTGAGATGCTCTATATATGAGAGGAAGAAGAAGATGGAAGAAGAGCAATGTCGAAGGAAGAGGGAAAATTAGTTTGACCTTAGCGTATAATAATTTCTTATTAATGAAGAACGACAAAAATATTCACGTTTCTATCCACTTTTCCTTAATTACCTCTAACCGCTTCTGTCTTTACAAGTTTAACATTGTTTGACTACAAGTAACGTTTGGGGATTTCCGGGTACAGAGAATACGTGAAAACAACCATTTCTCTCAAATCTAGAAGATTGTGTATGGTATAAAATATGATGCGTATTTTAATAAAAATTGAAATACGAAATGAAAAAAAAAAACATCATACCATTATTATTTTTATATATTTTGAATACCAATAAATTAGGGTTAATTAAGGATAAAAACAATGTTAAATTAGGGGTATGTGGTTATCATGAAATTTTCCCTCAATGAAAACAAAAGGGGAAGGCCAAAATGCAGCCACCTATGATTCCTGAACTATTCTGAGAATAAAAACAACTTGCAACATTGCTCTATCATGAAAACAAAGCATCTCCATGCACAGATTAAGCATTTTGATTACATACAATCTGAAATATTCGGAGATTAAAAAGAACTTGCAACATTTATTTATCATGGAAACCAAACAACTCCTCAAAACAAATTTCATCAAGTTGAGCCACAACATCAGGAGAAATTGTAAGTAGAGTCCCAACAGCAATCAAAACTGATGTCAACTTACTCCAGAACAAACTTTATGATGGACTAACCAGAAGGATAATCCACTCCAGTCATCTTGTTTATCACATACTAGGAAGTATTTGGCTGAAAATCGTGCATAGTCCATTTGATCCATATCAGCAATTAGAATGCACGCATTAGATTAATGATGTTTACTTATATCCAAGATGCGAGCTATCTATACCAATCTATAGGAACTGCATGTCTAAAAATGCGAGTGCTTATTCAAAATTTAATAACGACCAGCACTCTCTCATATGCATGCCTTTATTTTTTAGAACAACATATTTCAACATTCTACACAATTTTTTTCTCACACCACATTTTCCTCTATGACTACTACTTTCGAAGCATCATACCAAGTACCCAATTATCCGTTGGAATTCAATAAAACATGAATGAACAACTAATTTTAATAGTTCAAATATAAAATCTTCAATTAAACATTTTACGATATTTTGACATTTACGCATCAACAAAGAAGAGACAAACAAAAGTTGCATAACTCATTGCTTCACATGAAGAAAAATATTAGCATTTACCTCAAGAAATCAGAAAAGATATCTAAATGACAAATGGTTATTGATTATTGACTGTAATAAAGGTCCTTCAAGGCATGCCCTGGGCAATCCCCTCTCTGTGCTAATTGGAAGCATTTAGAATTTTAGAGAAGAAAAGATTTGCCTCAGACTAGTATAAATTTACCACAGAATGGGAAAAAGGTTCCCTCCACCTCCCTCCATAAAATAAATCAAATAATAAATCCAATATTGAACGTCAAAATGATCAGAAAGTAAATCTTAAAGCTAGTAAAAGACACGCCAAAAAAGTGAAATATGTGCATGCAACAATCCATAGAACTTCTATGCTAAAAAAAAAAGACGTGCCGGAACATGTGGTTGAAGTTCTATTAGCTGCCCTTTTGCAGGAACAGCTTGCAGCTTAATTGACATTGAAAGAGCACAAATCAACCAGACCTCAATATAAATCATTAACCGCATACAAATATCCTTAGAATTACAACTGTGACTATATTGAACCAAGTAGAATTAGCATGACGTTGAATAACAAGACCCTTAACTCCATCAAACCATTCAGGAAGCTTTCTCAACTCTTAGAAAAGAAATAAAAGGTTGAACCATGTGAAAGAGGTTGAAACACTATAAAACATATTCTCAACTTTAAGCATAGAAATGATAAAACAAAAAAATATATCAATCACACCTTGAAATCCTTTAAAAGATCATGTATCAAACAGTTCAAATGATTAAAGCTTTCATACAAGGACAATCCTCAGGGTGTTTGTATGCTAGGAATCAGGACAATATCCTTGCTATCACCACAAGGATAATTCTCTGGTTCTAGTGTAAACAAGGATCCCAAAAAGGTTGATTTATGCAAACAATGTCGGAACACGAAAAGAATACATTGTCAACTCTGTGCATAAAAATGGGGGGGAAGCAATAATAATCAATCACAACCTGCAATCCTTTAGAAAAATCATGCATCTAACACTTCAAATGATAAAAGCTTTCATACATGGACAATCCTCAGGGTGTTTGTATGCCAGAAATCAGGATAATATCCTCGGTATCACAAGGATAATTTTCTGCTTCTAGTGTAAACAAGGATCCCGAAAAGGTTGAACCATGCCAACAAGGTCAGAACATGAAAAGAACACATTCTCAACTCTATGCATAAAAAAGGAAAAAGAAAAAGAAAAAGAAGCACAACCTGCAATCCTTCAGAAAAACCATGCATCTAACACTACAAATGATTAAAGCTTTCATACATGGACAACACTCAGGGTGTTCGTATGCCAGGAATCAGGGTGATATCCTCAGCATCAACCTTAAGGATAATTGTCTACTACTAATGCAAACAAGGATCTCCAAATAAGTAGCATAATAACATAACAAATAACATAAGGAACATCTCACCTTGAAACAACAGTATTCCCGTGCCAAAGATTCCTGTAGCTGCCACAAAGAAGAGAATAAACTCTTTTGACCTTAGATGATAAAAACGCAATCATAAGCAACATAAACAGTAATCAATCAGTAAACATTAAACACGAAAATATAAAAGAACATGAAACATTACCTATAAATCAAAGGGTAAAGTATCATGATCATCTTCATTGTCATTAAGCTTTCTTATCAATGTATAGTCACTTATAATGCACAAGAATCTAAAGAGGCCCGTGCTTAAAAGAAGTTCAGCTAGATTTTACAATTGGAGATTGAACAACAAGAACTGAAAGCCAACATATTGATACCACATCAGTGACATCTCTTTTTACAACTTTGAATCCAAAGGACAAAGAGATATAACTTTCTATTGAGACACCACCAGGCACCAGCCTTAAGCAAACATGGGAATCTGGGGGTTAAGTGAGAGCCTAAGTTGCATGGAAATGTGAATAGGTACTGGTACGGTTGCGGGTTGGTACAGGACATGGCAAATTTGTAAAATGTAGAGTACAGCGACACGGCTACATATATGTATTGAAATTAATAAATCTGCATGAGATCAATATTGTTTTTATATTCATGTGTTATTAGAATTAAAAGTGTTATCCGAATTAATAGTCCTATCACATTTCTAGGTTTCTTGTATTCTATTGATTATTATAAATTAAAAACTGCTCGTTTTTGAACTAGACACTCAAATGACCAGCTTAAATCATAGTTAACTTGGGTATCACTGCATGGGCTGAAACAAACCTGACCCATATCTAACCAGTTTCAAGAAATAGATATAAAGTGTAGGATATACATCCAAGAAGTGTATTGCAGGTGTTTTAAATTAAACCATATATCATGTAATTGAGTACATGTCCGCATGAATTTATGTATATATCAAGAAGTGTCCATGAAGTTTGGGTACGGAAAAGTGTCGGGTACGTGTTCGTTACAGGTACGGCTTCATGATAGAAATACCTAGGTAACATAGGTGAGAGTACATCATGATGATGGTCCATATAATAAATAGCTAAATTTGCATTTGCCATAAGTTCACAACTCCATAAAAAAAGATAATGACTATTTAATCTCTTCAACAAGTTTAGAAATGCGCCAAAAGTCAAATGTGCACATACCCTAAATGCTTCTAACAACATTGAGTTCAATGAGTTGTATACATTTGTCAGTTAACAGGTTGAAGGAACAAAAGAACACCATCAAAGGTCATAATTATAATAGCGGAGAACAATAAAAAAATACATCATATAGTTCTACAGCCTCACATATGAAATGATCACCAATGTTCTTGAAGAATACATCTTGGTCATAGCAGCTTTTAATATTTACTCATCTGCCAGTTAAACAGATATAAAGAGCACCACCTACCACCTTACTTAGCCTTACACTCTAATCTTAAAAACTAAGAAGAGTGAAAAAGAAGCAGAAACCACATAAACTGGTTATCTCATACACCTTTTCATCCACACTAAAGTACAAAGTTCATGAACTTCGAATATCAAGCAAACATTTTCAAAGCCATTAATAATGCATAACACTAACCGAACTGGAAAACCCCTTTCATTTGACAGCTCAACATTCATTAGGGAATGTTGATTATCAATTAGTAAATCAAAAGTAGACTTTTAGCATGCAAATCAAATAGCGTAGTAGCGTGCACACACAAGCATGGACGCAAATCAAGAAAACAAGAGAGAAAAAGGAAAAAGATGAGAATGATAACCAAGAAATAAAACTGTATTCACATCCGTTACAGTTATGGTATGAGAGGGAGTACGAATTCCCTAAACTAATATCTGTACAACAATAAAATAATATCAACACATTTTCAATTAGAAGTTAGGTTTTCGAGATATAAATGCCTGCAAGTTTTATCTTGGTATTTGCAAGCACAAATATACAATATGACAGAGGGAGAGAACCAACAAACAAGTATCAAGTTCCTGAAACAACCTACATCAATATAGTAATATTAACAGACTGTTGAGGAGAAGTTATGATTTTAGATAAAATGCCTGTGAATTTTATTTTGGTATTCCTTCCCTTATCAACTCTCAAATATCAAAAGGACCAAAATATCCCCACTTCTAACTTCATTTGCCTTCTTATGAGAAGGCGAGAGACTTCTCAATCATTTTGGGGCCTATTTAAGAAATATTCCAATGATTATATAAAATATTAAAAACTCGAGAAGTATATCAAAATAAGGAAAATATGGACAGGCACCACTGAAGACTTTCGCCATTTTTTCATTGGCTACAATAAACTTCTTAAAACATCAAAGCCATCAGTGCACCACATACAAGATCACACCATAAATAGAAAACAGATGCAACCGACCATACATGGTTAGGACATGTCATTAACTTAAACTAGGAGTTAAAATTGATCAACTAATTATCAATAGTTTAGTAAAATTATTTATCCAACTGTCAGTTCAAACTTGATTCAAGAGATCATC